CTTGTTACTACTAGCTTTATTGTTACTAGTAGTAAGGCACCTGTTCCTACTAGCGTGGCACTTGTTACTACTAGCTTGTTGTTCCTAATTTATACACTCCATGTATGTCATATGCATATGACCCCTCAAACCAGCCCAACTGATCGGCAGTCCGCAGTCCCATGGGTCGTGTTTGGCTGTATTACTTCTCGGAACGCCTCGCTTCGGCCTGGAAGTTCGGTGGCTGTGACTTGCCAGGTTCGGTCACGATCTGAAGAAGCGACAGCACCGGAAAGTTGGAAACAACCTCCGACCCTTTGGTCTGACGGACATCTCCAGAACGGGCACCGGTCATTCACTCAACCGTCCTCACTGGCACCGTGCCCGTGGTGTTCTTCATCTCGCGAACGGACGGACGGCGGAGATTCATCCGTTGGGCCTTCAAAAGTGAAGGTAGGGTCCAGGCGCGCCTTCCCTCGCTCCCCTGCAAGGAATGATGATTCGAGTCTTTTAGCCTCAAAAGGATTGTCCTAATTGAAGCAATTTTCAAGGGTGAACCAAGAGCATTACTACTAGTAGCAAGTAGCAAGGACGCTACTAGTAGGCCTCGAACAGGCGTTGGGAGTGCTTTTTGTGGCGTCAGCCACCAAGTCCATTCCATGTCGCTCCAGTCTGTTTGGTTCGACCAGACCGGGAGCGGGTTCACCGCAAGCCTTGAGACCCGAAACGAAGGTTGAAGAACCTTGATGAGCCCTTTTCTTTGCGGAAAAAATCCCGGGATATCAGATGATCCCAGTTGAAATAATTGGGACATGGTATAACATGGGCGTTTATTCATCAGGAGGATTTGCTATTATATCATGCTTGTGTTTTTGTTGTTGATGATCTTCAGTTCACCCTTGGCTGTTTGCTATCAGGGCGGTGCTTGGTATCTTCCATCACTTTCAACGGGATGCTTGAAATAGTAGATGACCTTCCAACAGAAAAGCTGACGCAGAGGAGTCATTGTGTGACTTGCTAAGCGGCGGGAAGTTTGATGTAACTTATATGCCAGCACCCGATCTCTGCCAGGTCACCAATTGAAACCTCCAGGGCCCAACAAGAACCCTATTTAGAAGACCTGTGAAGTCAATTGCTGGTATACCGATGGAGAATGGACATGGGGACTCGGCAAATTAGTTTTTGACGAGCTATTCACCAGGAATCCCTATGAACAAGCTCTTGACAGTGGATCCTATTGCCCCTTGTAACTTCTTCATCCGGCCTGGCACTGGTTTCGTCCGCGCCTGACGAACCGTCGTCTGAACATGTTTCGTTTCCAGAACACGGTCACGGTACCGTGGTCTGCATGTTGAAACTCCAAGGGCCGACGTCGAAGACCCCGGCTTTGGTCATGCAACGTTCTCCTTCCCAACACATCCTTAGAGGAACAAGAGAACGGAGCAACTATTCACGAAAGCTAGCGAAGCTAGCTGGAGTTACTCTTGCGATAGCAAGGTTTCTTTCGACCGGGTGCAAATCCTAACCCCTGATTTTTCAGGTCGAAGACCCCCCCCCCTCCCCTCCGCCCCTCTCCCCTCCTCCCCTCTCCCCTCTCCCCTCTCCCCACCCCACCTCCCCTCTCCTCCTCCTTGTCTTCCTCCCACCTTCCCTCCCTCCCTCCCTCCTCCCTCTTCGCAAGTTCGACTCCGTCCTGTCGTCGCTCTTTGGCATGCGGTTAGCGTTGCGTATCTTGCGGCCGCACTCGCTCACTCTCACTGTCTCACTGTCTCACTGTCTCACTGTCTCTCTCTCTCTCTCTCTCATCTCTCTCATCTCTCTCATCTCTTTCTCATCTCTCTCTCCTCTCTCTCTCTCTCTCTCCTCTCTGTCTCTCGTCTTTCCGTCTCTCTTCTCTCTCTTCTCTCGCAGGAGGATCCGGGCAAAGAGCCACATATAAAGGACTCTTCGCCCCTGCCTCCAAAAAGAGCGCCGTGTTTTTTCCTACCTCGCTGCCCTCCACTTTCCCATTCTGGAGCGCTAGCTTTCGCCCCCCCCCCTTGGCCTCAAGTCCTACTCCTTTACTTTAATGTATGGGTGTGCATTTGAATGGGAAGACCTCCAACATCCTCCAACCATTGTTTTTGTCTATAGTCTATTATAGTCTATATTAAATTGTCCTTCTTCCAACGGTTTTCCTTGAAAGGTTTCTAATGTGAATAGACCCAACTCCTCACCGAAGCTCGCTCGCTGAGCTGGACCGAAGACTTCATCTCACCCGGGCGCAAGCCAGCTGGACCGCTCTCAGGTGGTCTATTTGAACGAAGCCGATGCCAAGATGGTCTACGTGCGCAAGACGCCGCTGGGTGGACCGTCCGTCCGGGTCGACGTCCGGACGACCGGAGGACGGGCGGTGCTCGGTCCGTCGACGTGCGTCGACCGGTGCGTCGACCGGTGCGGGACTAAGCGCGGGAGAAAAAACCAGGATTGAATGATGGTCCTTTTCAGTGTAGTCTTTCTAGGACGAGCATACGTATGGTGGTTTGGAGATCACTCCAAGGCGCAGTGTTTTGTAGCTAAAGGTTTCTTTGGTTGTTTTTCTTCTATGGACCCTATCATACAAGAACTGGGCTTTCTTCGCCCAGTCTGAAGAGCAGAGACGATTTGTTTCAAGCATTTTTGGGTCAAAGAAGCACAAGTTCGTGGTGACGATTACAGAAACAACATTGACTCCCTAGCGCTCCAGTCGTACCCTCTGAGAAGGTGAGACTGGGGTGGGTTTGGAGGGTTCAAATACCATTTGAGGAGGAACTTGGAGCCATAGGGGACTTGTTTTTTTTTCAAAAGCCCTTAGGCCCACTTAACTGCCCACCTACTGTCAGCCTCCAAAGGGATTCTGTCAATGTTTGGCCCAAGAAGAACTGTATCTCCCAAACAATGCAGAAGTTCTTTGTTGACCAGCACTACGAGAACCGAACATGGATTTCCGAATCATAGCAAACTCCCGCACACCCCTGCCTGAGACAGGCCAATTGACCACCCTTCAATTAGTTGAAGAGGTGCTTGAAAAGGGGTGGGCGGTGGGCAGTAGACTCAGTAGACATTCCAGTCCCAAGAAGTGATCCAATGAAATCCATAATTACACCTCCAGTCTCGCCAATTCAAAGATCTGTGAGTCTGGTTTATCAGGGGACTGACCGTGTCGAAACCAACAAACCCTTTCCATGTCAGAATGCCTTGCCTCACCGAGGAAGTCCTCGATGAAACTGGAGGACTGCGGCATTCCGCTCTCCGAGCGCTTCGCCTTCTACGATCAGGCGAGAGGAGTCGTGACACCTCTATCCACACCCGACGCCGAACGCCTCCTGAGATCTCCGCTTCGTGCAGGTGCATACAACGGGAATGGACATTCAGCACAAGCCCGATGCACGTGCTGTCATCACGCTGGGCAAGGAGAGAGTCAAGCACGCAGAGTTTGATGCTGTTTTCTGCGATGATTTGGATTGATTTGGAAGCCCGATCCCAGCTGGCCACACAGGTTGGATTCCATTGCAGGCAAAAAATGTTAAAAATGAGCAAGCAAGTTTGGCAAGGAAAAAAGTTTTCCCACTGAGTTCTTTCTGGTTGGCAACGTTGTGTTGCTTTCCAGGCAGGTAAGATGAAAACGCGGATGGTTAAAGCCAGAGACACGTATCGGGCGCAGGACATGGTGTGGCGAGACTATTGCCAGGCCTGGGGCTTTTTGAGTCGGCGGCGTTCGGAACGGGTCATATCTCTCAAACGTTTCGAAGGTGAAGTGGGGATTTGACATTGGTGTTTCATTTGTCAAGTTGATTCTTGTACAATTCATGCAAACTCAACAGCTACCAGGACCTTCCAAGAAGTGCCTACAAATAGCCTCTTATAGAGGTTGAGGAGTGTCCAAAAACCACCTGCATGTTGGAAGGTCCTGTTATATGTCTTTTTTGTTGAGTGTCAAAATACTCCCCTGCTGTTCGGACCACATGGAACCCCAGTTCACCACGGTCGGGTTGGTCTTCGGAAAAGGGTCGAAACCACCGGTCTTTCTTCTCAGGTTCTATGGGACCGTTTGCGGGGGAGTACAATCAACAGAGTGCTCAAAGCACTGGCCCTCAACAAACTCTCGATGTGAAAATGACAGGGCATCAACGAGGATTTCAAGACATATAGGGTTTAGGGAGGGGTTTAGGGTTTAGGGTTTTAGATAATAGTAGTATATTATTATTGTCAAACATGGGTACTTCTGGCCAATGTGCCTGGCAGGCCAGGAGGCCACCCATGACGGGAAGTACATGCTGTACACGCTCAGCGGGGGGGTGCAGTTAAGTGGATCTTCCAAAGGTGCACACTGACACTGAGGTGGCCAGACCAATTCCGAAATCATGCCCCTGACTTTGGGTCAAACCGTGCCAAGCTGGATGTTGTTCTCAAAAAGAAAACAACTTTGGAAGGGTCAGACCTACTGCACAGATGTGACAGATGTGGCACGCACCAACATTTGCCATTGGTTGAGGGGTCAGACCAGTCTGCCAATGTTTGCCAATGTCTGGAACTCTTTGCGGTTTCCAACGAGCTCAAGAGTCCTCAAACAGACTGTCATGTGTTCCAGGGTGCCTACCGCATGCGGGGCATTAACCGTGGACAGCGCCTGGTCATTTACGCCATACCTGAAGCACCTCGGATGCAGAGGAGTGGCGATACGTGGCAGACAGGCTCGTGACAGATACGTCTCAGTGCTTTGGCAGACATGTTGGGTGTAGGACCTCCTAGCCGGCCCCCTTAATACCCTAGGTTTGGTTCGGACAACTTGGGTCAGTCTACCCCGAAGTGGGCGAGAAAGGGTGGAGACACCTCTTGAAATGCACACTGCTTTTGGCTCACGCCTTACATCCGGCCTCCTACAGCCAAACCCCTTGGCGTCGGAGGTGGGCCCTGAAGAGAACAGACCGAGAGAGAAGGCAAGAGTAGCCGAGTGTGGCGAGACGAAAAGTATATAGTATAGTGGATCCAGACCATCCATGTACGGACTGGAGGGGTCATGTTTACTATCGATCCTCAAGACAGGTTTTTAACTACCCCCTCATTCTTCTATGCAGTAGAAATCATTCTGAATCTGTTTTCATCTGTTTTCCAGTTGCATGGATACTGTTAAGGGGAGAGGTCATCCTGGTGAAGCGCATGATTTTGTGGCATTTTCTGACAGGGTTTTATCATGTGTTATCACTACAATCCAGCAAATCCACTCCAGAGGAAGCTGAGGCTCTTTCTTGATCCAAACTCCTAAAGTATGTTTGACACGACATTGCTAAACGTGTTTTCAATTCTATGTTCAGTCAAGAGATGACCCGTTCGGTCATTATAGAACATTGATCATGACCTGCTTCTAGAGGAAAACGATCTTGAGAGGGTCAACAACTGTGTTTCTTGGTCGATCGCCAGTGATGTCGTCTACTCTGATAGGGCGGTTTTGTTCCCTGAAACCTGTGCAAGCCTCAGCCTCAGGAACACGGAAGAGGTCACTCAACGCATAGGAAGAACCACACTGAATACAAGTCTGAAGACTTTCAAGCAGTTAGCCACGCATGTCTTCCCTGGACCCTCCTGTCGGGGTGTCTAATGGACTACCCCACACTACCGGCCTAGGCTTCCAGACAGGGCACCCCGACAGCAGGGTCCTGGTCTGTTTTGCGTCCTGCGTCCGGTCTTCTTCTTTGGGGAACCACGTCGGTCGTCGGTCGAAGTATGTCGAAGTCTCCTCGGTCGAGCCGGTCTGGAGTTGGTCGAGAGCGTTCCAGACCTGGCCGCGAAAAGGTCTCCAAGTTGGTCGAGAAGTCCTTGGTGGACGTGCCCATCTTGGCCAAAGACGCCAGGTGCGGACGACGGGGGGTGGGGGGTCGGGGGGTCGCGGAGTGGGTCGTGTTGGACTCCAAAAAGGCAAGGATTTGTAGCATGTCTTTCGTCGGCCGCCTGGCGCAGAGATTGAGCCTGCCAGTGCTTGCAAGGTGTTCCTCTTGGCCGGTCCACACGATTCACACGATCTGGGCTAGCTCGTGATCACAGCCATCCCAGCCACTGAAGAATTCTATAAGAAGTCTTCAAAAAATGTCTCAGTCCCAAACATGTCTCGACCCTCCACCCCGGTCTCGCACTCGCAGCGCTGCACAATACGCACAGCTATGCACTTCTTCCTCAGGGTGGGCTTGGTCCATGTCGTGGCCTGGCTCGTGATCAATGGCCTCCGTAGCGAACGAGTTCAAGCGGGCATGCTGAGGTGGGGATTGGGCGTCGCTTCATGTCTTCGGCCCGTCGCTTCATGGCACCGGGACACCTTGGTAGACCGACCCTTTCTGGCGAAGCGACGGCCAGGCCGCAGAGACGGACCGGCGTAGCTCGCACGTCGTCTCTGTGGTTCTGCCACCCACTGGTTCCCCTTTGAGACCGGTCCAAGCGCGGAAGCCACGTGACGGAGCGAGGAAGATGGGAGAGACCCGAGACGGAGTGCGGCGAAGACGGAGGAATTCCGGAACGTATCTTCTGAGGAAATGGAAATGGGAATGGGTTAACTACCAAACCCCTGCAACAGAGATTATTTCATGTTATTTCCCGAACGTTCGACTGTCCCACAGGTAGCCCAGGTTACGGCTCCTATTTATGGTCACCGAAAATCATCTCTTGGAAGGTCTTATGACCGTGTCCAGCCGTGCTTCCGGGCACTCGCGTGGCGCCAAACCCGCTCGTTGGGCGGGGAAGAAGACCGGTCGACCGAGTATAGGTGTACTCGCGCACCGCAGGTCGCAAGACTCCCATACTCTTTGGAGGAGGCGGGCTGAACACTGGACTCGAGGGTACCCAGCGAGCCTGAGCCCAGGCCCAGTCTGAGCTCGGGTCCAGTCTGGTCTCAAGCCCGATTTCTGCTAGGTCACCAATTTGAGACCTCCAACATCTTGGGCCCTTCCCAAGTCTATATAGAACCCTTTGGAGTCGGAGTGACATGGACTCTCGTCCCATCAAGAAAATTAACATGGAACATCATGCGATGATGGAACCTGAAAACCACATAGAGGAAAATAGTCTTCCAAATTGTCCAAGTTCAGGTTCCATGTTAATCTTCCCGGGTGTACATGCAAGGCCGCCATTACGAGCTTGAATGATCTTTTCGTGCGCGAAAAGCGCGACCTTTTGCGGTCCACCCCGCTAAGAGTCAAGACTCATTAATACAGTGCCACAGTTCCACTGAGTCCTTCGTCCGTCTGTGGCCAACTCTCGTGGCCAATGAGGCCTGACCTAGGTAGTTGGACCGCGTGCCAACCAGGCCCTTCAGGCCTTTCAAGCACCCACCTATTGACTAAAATAGAGAGTGAGGTACAATTGAGAAGGCACACTCAGAGGGTGTCACACCTCGTTTGGCTTGAAGTGATTTGTTCAAGATATGTTTTTTTCCTACTGGCAAATCTCCATTTTGGGGACCTGCGTTTCCGAGTTCCTGCAAATCCTATTGGTGGTCGGAACACGGCGATTCCCCCAATCAAATCCGGAAGTGAAGGAAATCGTGTCTTCCAAGAAGCTGCTTTTCTGATGTTGGATCGAGGGTTATCTTATAACTTATGATATATGTTGAGATACTTCCCCAGACACTCCTTAAGATTGACCTAATGACCTATACCCGGACCTTCCAAGAGGTCTATAAATAGCCTCTTAGAGGTTAAGGGCCAGAGGTGTCCAAAAACCACCTGTTGGAAGAGGCTGGTATACATTTGCAATACGTAGTTGAAAAGGGGTTCAGTGTGGGCATTATATATTCCATACATGAAATGTGTCCTCCTTTTACTTCACCACGACCTGTTTGGGACAAACATTCCGCCTCAACAATCCACCCCGATGAATACGCCCAGTCATTGAAGATGTGATCATCCACACGGGATGTTGCATCTTGTAGCATGTTTGTGGGGATTTATAGTATCCAGACACTCCATGGGACTGTCATATTTACCTGGTTACCTACATTGGGGTGGTTTGGGGGGGTCAATGTAGGCATATATGGCATACATGGAGTGTTTGGGGTATTAAAATATGTATTTCATGTCTAGGCTCTTATGCTCTGTCTGCGTATACGCGGATGTGGAAGTCGCCGAAGGCGGCTTCCGACGGCATCCCTCCAGGCCTGCGTTCTCATGGCTTCAAGAGCATTCAGAAGAAGCGCAAACTGAAGAGGTGCCGGGCTTTCGATGAAAGAGGTTTCTGCGTATACATGATAAACAGTACAAGGAGTTTTGACGTATGTTCGAGGCAGCTACCAGTCTTAGGAAGATGTCACTGTCCAAGACTGAAAGAACCGGTGTTTAAAGTGCGTTTTCTTCTACGAACAGGACCGGCTACGTCCACCTGTTAACTACGTCGACCGACGTCGATGAAGGAATGACGAGCTTGGCTCGTGGTGCCTGGACACCTGTGGATTGGACCCCGGAAAGACCCGAAGTGGTGGCTGGGCGCGATGTGTTCAGCACCCCCCCCACGAACTGTTCGTCCGCGACGCCATGGACGAGCTGTTCGTCCGCGACGTCCATCGCGCGGGAACCCGTTCGAAGGCGAAGAAGCACCTGGACATCTTCGAGGCGCGTGAAGTAAGACGATCGTCTGACTTCAGACTTCGTCGTTTCACCGGCCTGGAACCCCCAAAGAGCCAGAAACCAATGGCTGTTCCAATATGGCAATTGAAATCCTTTACATAGGAAATGGCTGTTTGGGGAGATCCATTTCTTTCTGGTTGTTTAGAGTTCCAGGGGCAAGACTTGAAGACTTGAAATCCTTGTTTTCGGGGCATCCAGGTAGTTCATCCATGTCCGGGATAGGTTGTTGAGCACTGATTCAGCGATGTGTGGGGTGCAGGTCTGGGATATGGGCCATATGTCAAAAAGAAGGTTTGCTACTGATTCCAGCCGGAAGAGCACCAGAGAATTGGACTCAAAATGCCAAATTCAGAAGCTGGCCTCAATCTTCTTTTGTGTCCAATCCATTCTTCAATTGTTTGGACCTGACATGTGAAACCCCATTTTGCCAGTGTTATGTACGTATGTTTGTTTGGTGTCCTTTTGGAAAATCGTGCTATGCTACGCTGTGCTGTGTTCAAGCATCAACTTCTCTATATATCCCAAAATCTCCCGATGGTGCTGCTGAATTTGCCCTGACTGTGAGTGTTTGTGGTGCTGACCTTCCTGTGCTGACCGGTGCTCTTGTTCGGAGGTGACATCTGCTATGGATGTCCAGGTGCAAGTCGAATTGGCTTAATTCGAGCGCTTACTTTGGACAAGGAGATACTTGCTACCGGTGTGGGTGATCAACAGCAGGGTCCTCAGCGCACCTGGAATGTCTCGGGTGCGCGTGGTGAGGGTGCTATCGGCACAGAGGCTGTTGACTGAGGGTGCAGGTGAGAGACCGCGCTACCTTCATATGGCCCTTGGTTTTGGAGGCGATGGCAAGCATGCTCCTCCTCTTTTCTCAACTGCTGCTTCGAGGTTTGTCCTGAGACTCTCGTGTTCTTCCTACTTCCCACCTTCCACTGTTTTCCTTCTTGGACCCTCCGGCCTTCAGTGCATGCCACGTGGACGAACGACGCCGACTCCTTCGGTCGACGCCACGAGGGAACGACGCCAACGGCGTGTCGCCGTGTCGCCGACCCGACAGACCTCGGATCGACCTGGCGGACCTGGACGGTGATGGTGCCAAAGACATGGTGAAGACGTGGTACCCCCTGCTGTTACTCCTGGTGTTTCATTTGTCAAGTTGATTCTTGTGCAACTCATGCAAACTCATCAAACAGCTACCAGGACCTTCCAAGAAGTGCCTACAAATAGCCTCTTAGAGGTTGAGGAGTGTCCAAAAACCACCTGTTGGAAGGTCCTGTTATATATGTCTTTTTTGTTGAGTGTCAAAATACTCCCCTGCTGTTCGGACCACATGGAACCCCAATACCACCACGGTCGGGTTGGTCTTCGGAAAAGGGTCGAAACCACAGGTCTTTCTTCTTAGGTTCTATGGGACCGTTTGCGGGGGAGTAGCTTGTGCGGTCATTTGGCTGACCTGCTCGAAGCAGGGGCAGTTTTCGTGAAAAAACGAAGCTTTCTTCAGCAACCCGACGTCGGATCGGGTGGAAGCTGCACTCGATCGATTGGCCCCGGTGTTTGGTTGCTGAAATGGCTCCGATCTGGCAGGAACCTTTGGATTTGGATTTGGCCTCGTCCATTCCAAAGTCCGGATGCTTAGACGCTCAGATTGTTGCAGGGACATGGCGAAACAGGGTGAAAAGGGCAGTCCAAATTGATCCAAACACCTGTTCTTTTTACTTCTTGCTCAGGGTTGTTTCAAGGCCCATCGCTCTTCGGCCATACTCAAAATTGGAAACATATCAACTGACGCGCAATGTCACTTGCCCAACTGCTGGTTCATTCTTGTGTACGCGACAGCCCTGTCTTGTTGAAACACAAATCCGAGTGACAAAGAACTGACCAACCATGAAAGCACATGTCATCTCTTTTCGCCATCCAGGTCATCAGGACACATGCTGGATGTCCCCATGTCAAGTTTCACTTCTCAGAAGAATAGGACTAGTTACTAGTTCCCTTTCTTGGATAACTCTTGGCCAGGCTGCAGCACAAATCCCAGACAGTTCCAATCTTGCGAGACTTGATCCTGCCAAATCATGGGAGTCTATCTGTTTAGGATTCAGATTGCAGAGCTTCTTTCTTCAGTGGTGCCGGGGCGCACCAGTGACGACTGAAGAATCAGCCGTAGGTAGATGGCGTACCGAGAACGATCCAACATACATTCTTTGGTTTGGGTGGCTCAGCTAATAGAATGTAGTTATTGATTTAGCATATTATAAAACTATAGTCGTCCCCAAATAGATAGTGGCACGGTGTCCAAAACAGTTTAGTGGGGATCTACTTTTCTATAATATATATTATATCAAATTATCCTCTCTATCTCTGTTGCCTCGTCCGTATTGGTTCTGAACTATGTTGTTGTTGATGTTCTGGAAAAGGTGTCATGGAAAGTTTGATGTTGTGGTTGATGTTGTGGAAAAGGTGTCATGGAAATTTCTATGTTGTGGTTGATGTTGTGGAAGTTGTAGCCATTGTTGTGGAAAATGGTATTGAATATCTCAATGTTGTAGCCGTAGCCAATGTTGTGGAAAGAGGTGTGTTAATGTTTATATATGTTGCAAACATTGTCGTTCAAAATGAACCTTGGAAGTTTCCACGGTCCCACGTGTAGCTTGTGGCCCATGCTACAGCTTGTAGAATGGATGTTGGTGGGTGTGCTGTTGGGATGGGTGTTGTGCGAATGTTTTGTGTGATGTTAGTCGCCACACTGCCACACGCAAATTTGCCACTGCAAAGCAAATCTGTTTATATACATACAGATCACCCGGTCGGTGCTGCCATAATCAAGCTTTACCTGATCAAAGCCACATATTCATAAATAATGAATCATACCTCCATTGATATGATCGCTGGGACAGCTACTGCCTACTCATCGTCCCTGTCACTTTTCTGTGTCTTTTTTCTGTAGCCTTGGCGTCAAGATCGTAAGTGGTTTTCTAGCCTGGGCCTGGGAATGATGCAGGAACATACAATGTTGGTGTTTGTGGCATGATACAAAGCTACCCAGTCAAGTACTACTATATAGTAGTTTACAACTTAGTCAACTCTAACTGCAAATGTTCTTAGTATGAATGATAGTTGTAACGTCGCATATCGGAAACTACTCCCTATTTGTATGGTCGAACTGTATGATTGACTTGTCTCTAATGCAAATTCATGAATTAAGAGGTTTTCGGGGTAATTACAGTAGGAACCGCCATACAAATCCACCGTCGAACGGTTCAGAACGGTTCAAGGGGAATTCTACCATATACCTCCGAACGGTTCAGAACGGTTCAAGTGGTTCAGAACAGCCCGAACTATTCCGAACTATTTAGAACTATTTAGAACTCGTAATTTTTTACGTTGTGAAAAAAGCAGAAAACATCCGAACGGTTCAGAACGGTTCAGTGGGAGTCTGTTAGCTCAACTTAACTCAAATTTATTAAGCAATAAACATTAATACGCTCGAACAAACCTTTGAGGCTTAAAAGCCAAATGTTGCTAAAGACCAACTTGAAACTTGAAACTTAAATATGTCTGGCAAAAAGGGCATACTGCGGCATACTTTATAGAAAGACAATCTAACTAGACCGGTCAAGAGTCAAGCTATCGATGTTTAACCTGTTCGCACAAAGTTTCAAAACCCATGTCCGAGTCAAACTCTTAAAATAAACCCCGCTCTAGGAGGTGAGGCGAATGAATGCTCCCATCGATTCAAAAAAACCGAAGAGGAAGGCCGGAGCTGGGTGCGGGTGGATTTGGAAGAGGGTGATGCTTCAGGCTGGGAGGACGCGACTTTCTGGAGGTTGCTCGAGGTTCGACAACGTAGAAGACAACGTGGAAATCTACGAACTCCAAATAGATCGAATTAGTTCGCTGAACCGTTCGGAACAGTTCGGAACCGTTCGATAGAAAAAGATGCGCGTATATTGCCCTGCTCCCCTCTATTTTTGCAGCACTCAGTAAGGCACACCTAGGCCTGAGCAGTTCCCGGGAAGGTCAACTGCATACCATCATCATCGCAAAAGTTTCAACTTGCCATGATGGGCGGAACATGTCGGACAGGTCGCACAACACGAGGTGGGTTGGGTGGTCAGCTTCTCTCACGCTCACACCATCTACAGAGTCGGATTCCAGTTCCATGATAGGATGCGTGGCCACGTCATAAGGGCTCGGCTTGGGAGTATTGTTTTCCAGGAAAGTTGACAGTCATGCGGCGGCCATCAATGATGCGCAAGCCCATCGACATACGCCTTCTTACAGGTGCAGGATTGCAGAAGCATAGAGTTCATAGTCAGGCACGTCATTTGGTTATAGTCGGGCCATACCCAGCACGTAGTCATAGTACAGTAACAGTAGTAGTGGCAGTAGTGGTAGTGGCATGTTTTAGCCAGAAGTCATTCAATCTAGTAGTGGCAGTGGTAATGTTCGCACCGATTATTGGATTCAGCTCTGGCTTAACAAGCTACAATCTGTCACACGTCCCTGCACGTGAGCTGCCGTCGCCTCATGCTTGATGAAATGGCAAAACACCATGAAACCCATGCGGCCAACCGCCTCTTGCTTGCAACCTAACACGTAGCAGCTTGAGTGATGCTTTTGCTGGGGCAATGACGATGGCGGCACAACAAATTCCCAAGGATGCGAATGCCTAATCCTGCGCGCTGTGAGAAGGGGTGTCCAGCTACAGGATTCAGACTTGCAAGAACACACAGTGTGAACTGTGAACATACGAGTTGGGCCTGTTTTCTCGCAACCTCATACCTGGCTCCTGTTTCTAATCGAAGGTCCACTCCTGAATTCCCCCTTTCGAAAATGTCCGGAACAAGCCATGAATTAGTCACGTCAAGTCAAAAGGCAATGCTGGCAAGGGGTGGTCCGGATCAGGCCAGCCATCACTGGGACGACTATAACAACAAAGCTTGCTGTCGTGCATCCATGTCGGGTTGAAGACTCAAGCCTCCAAAACAGGATATGTGCGGCAGAAAAGTTAGGGCCGGGTCAGGCAGTTGTCTTGGCTTTGAGTTTTGAATTGGTTCATTTCAGGGTGCATCGACATAGCTTTATGTAGTTAAGCACCGAACTATCCAGCAGTAGTCACTGAGATCTGTTTACAACTACTATCCACAAGGTCGCTGCCGAAAGATATGTGCTTTGTCCATTAGGTCTTCACGGTCAGATATCTATTTGAAAGTACTTTCCGGAGCTGCTCACCATCTGCTTACATCTTGTAGACAGGAGCCTGCTCAGTCTAAGCGTGTCACTTTCAGAAAACCAACTGCATGTTGATGCAATTTGGATCACATGTCCCAGAAAAAAACACAGACACGACAATGCTGCGGACATGCACCATACCAATCCCCATTAATGAATAATAAGTCACAACATAGAGCACAACATCAACATTTACATGACATTGCGTCACAACATCAACAACAACATAGTTCGAAACCCATACTGACTTCAAAACAGAACAGGGCCTTTATAGAGGGGATGATTTGGTTTAAAAAATATATATATATGAAAGGGGGTCTATATAATATACAGTATATATATAACTTATATGACTATAATGTGCACACATGTGCACACACTTTTCTTGCCGAGCAAGGGTCCTTCAATTCGGACATCACCGCAAAAAGGCCCTCTTCCAAGAGTTCCCGCACCAAATGTCCAGTTGTTTGTTTTGTTCTTCTTTACGCTTGCAGTAAGACCCGGCAAGATCCGTAGGATCGCGTAAGTATCGTATCCCTACAGGTCAAAGACTTCAGTTTACTGCAGTTGGTTATACAAGAACACTATGATGACTCAAGGAGGTCAAGGACCAGATTTTGCTGGGTCAGACTGGACGTGTTGGAACGGGTGTACTTGTATACGGGTATATCATGGTTTGGACGAAGCTGATGTGCACCAACCAACTTCGATCACTGAAATACTCCGCAAGCGACTTAGGTAAATCAAACATGCTGAGTGATCAGTCCAAGCAAACCTCTACCCCAGACCAGGAACGAAAGCTTACTCCAAACCTGCACTCAGGGCTCGAGCCTTTCTAGGCCCTTTGCTCAAACGACATGCTTTCCTATTTTTTGATCCCCACAGGTTCTGCACCTTGCCCAGTTCTGTGGTGTTGAGGCCAAAGAGCTTGAGGCAGGCAATCGAAGAGAGTGCAAAGGATAAGGAATGGCACCTGGGAGCAGTCTGGGGAGGGAGAGGGCGGGTCAGGGCCAACTGGCAAACCGGGAAGCCACACGCAGTGTTTGTATGGGACATCAGTCTCCAGATTGTGCTAGATAATTCATGTTCGGGCCGTATATAGAAGCTGTTGGCGTGTTGAAACAAGACAGCGTAAGCACATGCAAGCAGGAAGTTCCACAGAGGGATGCTGAGACCATTCAGAGTTGCCGAAGACCCTGGATTCCAGGATTTTGACTGGCTTGCGAAGATTGTGGGGCTCATCTCTTCCAGTTGCTTCCAGTTTTGCATGGCCGCCTCTTTGTTTGACCGTCAATGCCTTCTCCGATTTGCCAAGTGCATGACATGGGATCATGATCCAGACACTCCATTTGACTCGTTAGCAGAAATACCCCAGAGTCAACCAACCCAACTGATCGGCAGTCCTATGAAAAAGTCCTAGACAGCTCGTGTTAGACACGGATCAAAAGCACCGTGGTGTGGACGACGTGCGCTAGACGCGGTTCTTAGCGGCGGCAGTCTGAACCAATACCCTGCTATGGAGCGGTAGAAGGTGGCCTATTCAACAAATCTCTTCCAGTCGGCTGCGGCTCAAACGACTGTGTTTGTTCTTTGTTCTTTGTTCTGGTTGCTTCGGTGGACCTAGGGCGGCAAACGACAGGCTTGCTAAACCAAATGCACGAACGGAGAGACATGGAAGTTCACAAAACCTGCAGACATTGGGTCCAAAGATCCTTAGGGATATATAGATTGGTAGAGGAAAACGTGTCATCCAAGATGGGCTTTCAGGTATGGGTGGGCACGCGAGACGGTCCGCGAGTCCGTGCCCAAACGGGGCATTTGGACTTCCACGATCACTTCAAGGAGCGTCTGTTTTCCAGCCCCACAGTAGGCCCCACACACGAGGATACACTGGATGGTCGCTGCTTCCGGAGCTTTGGACCGACGACATGTGCTTTTCCCCCACTCGAAAATGTGTAACGATCACAACAGAAAACGCCAGACGGTTCTTGTTCCTCATCCCGAAAACGCCAAACGAAGCATCGAAAAGATTGAAACTCCCAGAAAAGTGCTTCACTGAGAGAGAACCATCCAGAGAACCCAAAGCCAAATGGGTGCCCAGTCACAGCGCATCATGTCTTATCCCTCCACATGCGCCAACCGTTTTTGGGCTGCGCCCACCAAAAAGCACATGGCAGCTGCGAATGCAGCTTGGGTCCTGTGCCCCGAGGCTCTTGGGAAAGGATGAGTTGGAAGAATTGAAACGCCTGGCTGGCGTTTCGACTGATGCTGAGCAGGCCGGTGTATGTCCGACTGATGCAGAACCGTCCGATCGTGCGATCCGAAGTGGGGGGGGGGGGGGGCATGATCAGACTGAGACGAACGACTACCAAGAGGAAAGCCGCTACACAGGGGAGGAAGCCTTGGACATGAATGCTCCTACGATGCGGACGTGCGGTTTCCGGATCCACCCGGAGCTCAGTTGATGGAGAGGCCAAAGCCGGGGTTTGCCTTAGATCATGGGATCATGCTAAGATCTTAGCAGGACCCATCCCACAGGGTCCACAAAAGGCATCCCATCATAGGACATGTAAAACATGTTGGGCAACCTCAGCAACCTTTGGATGCGTTTGGTAAGGTTTATAAAGTGGTTCTAGGGAGATCTAACTTTCCAAAGACACTAATCACGTGTGAATATGTTTGACATTTGGAGATGAAACACAGCGGAACAACCAAAAAGCGCCTGAATATAATCATGGTTTCGCTTGGCATTTGGTTTGTGGGGCGTCCGTGTCACCATTATTTTGTGCGCAAATGAAGCCTTAGCTGGGTGATCCTAAATGATATAGACCATGCACCAGCACCTTCCAAGTTCGGTGGTCTTCGGACACCACGAATCACCTCTAAGATACTATTATAGAATATTATAGACACCTCTTGGAAGGTCCTGGTATAAACCATGCACATCATCATCCCGCGCATCCCGCAGGGTGTAATAGAGGACGCCCAAGTTTACACCTCGACGAAACCAACTAAACCGGAAACGGCCCGTGAAGAAGGCGCATATGTGCGATTGTGTGGCGAAGTCATGTGGTGCGAGGTGATTGTTGTAATGATGTGACATATAATGTGCCTGGAAAGGCGTATGAACACTCTTTTTTTGTGCGAAGGCCGTATTTGGACAGAATTTATCGTATGGATATGTTAATTAACGAATTAGCGTATTTAGCCGTATGGACAAAAAGACAATACCGTACAACAGCGTACCCATATGAAACCCAAACTTTATCAACATTTTATTGACAAAAACCCAAACAATTATATTGATAAAACACGATCAAACCCAATATTTGGAGGAATTCCAGCAAATGTGTCCATTTGACAAAAAAGGCCGGATGCACGGATTTTGTTGTGCGAACGTGTTGGAACAAAAAAAATGCACATTTGGGTGACATATGTGGTGAAGACACACAGAATAATGCAGAATGACCAACAGCATATGCTTTAGAGACACTTGTCAAAGACCGAGATTTGAAGGCACGGGGGTGCCCAATGTTTTTACACCAAGACACGGGTGGTGGACGGGAGTTGGAAGGCTGGGAGAACGGTAGCAGGTGGCAACCTGCTCGATGGCAACCTGGTAGAACGGTAGGCATTCGTCTACAATGGTCTTGTTTGGTGAAATGCCTCGCTGAAAGAGGATTCCCTACAAAGCCAGTCGTACCGAACCTCAGAAGGTACGATTGGACCCTCCAAACCTACATAACAGTGTCTCCAATCACCTTCTGAGAAGGTACGACTGGATCCCTAGGGATTCCTTTTCTGCTCCTGGTGGGTGGTTGTCGGCTTTGTCTCAAGCACGAGGACGACGAGAGCCTTGGCCGCCACTATCCACCACGAGGACGTCGTGATCGGCACAGGAGCCTTAAGCCTTGGCCGCCAAAAAAACGGCCAGTAGCACGCGAATTCTCGGCCAATTTGGACAGCGCGTGGTGCCGCAACCCGGAACACAGAGATACGGTCTACGCAGCGAAGCCTTGGATCCACCAGAGGGAGCGAAGCGAAGCCTTGGCGCCCTGCAAAATGGTTCAACATTCATGCCGTCTGTGGTCGCAATAGCCATGGCGCCGGCGCAACAGCCGTAGAGCACCATGTGAGCAAAGCTGCCGGTGGTTCACAACCTCACAGCTCACGCAGTGAGCAAGTCCGACCATTTCAGGCACAGCTGCGACCTGAAAGATTGAGTTCCCTATTGAGACGAAAGCCATGTGCATTTTCCCGTTCAAGTTGCAGCAGGTCCAGAGTCTGAGGAGGTGTAGCATGTTAAGAACAACAGAGAAGTAGACTTTCTGGAAGAAGTGTGCCCGGCTTTGGCAGGCGCACAACACTTTGGGCCATACACGTCCCATTGTTGGAGCACGTAGGCATGGTTCGCAATGTCTAACTTGTACTTGACCAGAGGGGCTTTGAAAGAGAATCCCCAACCCATGACCACAGGATATCTTCGCATCCTTTGGGTCAGCTCTTTCAGGTCACTGTGAGCACGGCCGACCAAGAGCAACAACAAGAGCAGGACGATGTGGGCGCTTGTCAGCATGCGGGGGTAATCATCGTGCTGGCTGGTGGCCACAAGGGCAGAAATGGGAGATGGAATTGTCAGTTTTTGTTTAGAAAACCAGAAAAGATACAAGACAATCCACGACCACTTGATAACCTAGATTCCCATCTTGTTGCGCTGCAACTGAGAGGATTGGCTCTGATTGAACCAGCAACCACGTTGCACAGTTGCACCACGGCTGTGTTTTTTTTGCCACCACCAGCCAGCAGTGAAGACCATTTTTCATTGCAAACTCCATGTCAGTTATTGATGGGCCAACACTCAGTATGGATGTTTGGCAACGTAACGAATGGTTTGCTTAAGTACTGTAAACTCTTTGACAATCCCCCTTATTAGTTCCTCTACAACATGCAGGTGCCTTGTACCTAAACAACGCGATAATTTCATAGAACCATGTGTGCCAAAATGCCCAACCATGGCTGAAGTATATTGAGATGTGGGAGAGGAAAGTGCACTCTGTCAAAAATGTGTTCATAATGACGAGTACTTATGCGGATGAAAGTGTGTTCTACAAAAATCCAATGTTCCACGAACACGCTGAATATGAGGAGATTAAATTACATATAAAATAGTAACAATGGTTTACTCCCGAACCTAAAATACCATCACCTCAGATGTTGCCGCTAATGTCAGCTGTTAGTTAACCCTTCAGATACATTGTTCAAAAAAATAGGTTATCAGGACGATGCAGGAAAAGCAAAACAATGACGGTATTGTTTTGAACACTGGAAACAGATAAGCGAGGCTACACAAGGAACTTTTGTGTTTGCATTCAATTGCATTCACATTAGTTGTAGTGGTTTTTGTTTTATTTGCGATTGTTAATGATTTTATGTGTTTGATTATTTTGTTTGTTTTATTTAAGGTGCAATATGTTCAAAAAAGGAAGGCAAAATCTATTCTGTTTGCTGATGAGTGTGGCGGTGGCCCGGTAGTTGTTGTTGCATGCGAGTTCGCGCATTGCTGACTGCTGACCCTGCCCTTTCCTTGCTTGCTCAAGAACTGTTCTGTCCTTGCTGGATGATACACCCAAGCTGATATGTGTCATGAATGTTTATTCAAATAGTTCTGCTGTCCCAATGGTCCTTGCTCAGGGAATTTTGACAGCCTGACAAACGCAGGTGTTGTGAAAACCGGCCCCGTTGTGCATGTTTTGTTTGGCAATTAATGCATTGTTTTGGCATAGACTTTCAAAATTGGACATTTCACACCTCCAACCATGCTTAGACCCCCTAAACTCACCCCAACCATCTTCTCAGGAGGTAGTTGGAGGTGTAGGGGTTAATAACAATAATATGTCATGTGATTCTGACGGTTCCTGAAATTTCAGAATGGCAGTTCTGAGACCCGGATCAGTGGCTTAAGGTGTTTCTTCATGGTCCATGTGGTCTTGTTATATTTCTTTGAGGATCCCCATTCGCCAGCGGGAACACTTTGCCGGTGGGTGGTTTGTCTGAAAAAGCAATGGACAACATCTTGGAACGCGTTGGTTTGGATGTTGGCACCAAAAACCATTCAAAACGACCATTCAAAAGCAAGCCACGCGTCCTCATCCCTGAAGAGGAGCAAGAGCAGGAGCAGGAGCAGGAGATTGAGATCGAGAAATTTGCCGATCTAGGCGGGGCCACCGCAGGAAATTTGCTCCGGTCCGGCTGGGCCAACGGAGCTCGGTGAGGACGATGGAGCCCGGTGAGCCGGACGGTTTGAGGGTGGATGTTCCGTTTGAGAGCTGCGGCCCCCCTTTCATCCAATCCATGGGGAACCAGCCTGCGTATGTGTTGTTTCATGATATTGGCTGCTTCCGGCTTTCGGAAGAAGCCAATCCAATGTCTGTGTGTGCGTGTCCACCATGTTGCGACACCCTTCCGGTGAGAATCCAAGCTGCTTTCCACGATGGACAGCTGAGTTATCACATGACAGCTGAGTTATCACATGACGTCCCACGTGGAGAAAAGAAACATGAAAAACTGGCTTTTCTGTTTCACCAGGACTGACCTCTCCAGGTGATTTTCATTGGGGATTAAACACCTTGTTCTTGTCTGTTTGCCAGGCGGGGTCAAATCATGGGCCAAAAGAGTCCGCAGCTGCCATGGCTTTTGCTCACTCGGGTCGCGGCTCGGGTCGGTCGCTTCCAGTTCTTCCCCCAGCACAAGAAGATTTGGAGCACTGGCATCGTTTTTGGGGGGGCGGTACCCTAAACTGAGACACCAAGGCAATGGTTGTAGCAAGTGTAGTTAGTAAGAGTTAGTAGCAGTAGTAGTAGTAGTAGGAGTAGCAGTAGCAGTAGCAGTAGCAGTAGTAGTTGTTGTTGTTGTACTAAGTACTAGTTACTAGGCACTAGGTACTAGGTACTAGGTATCAGATAGATCTAGATAGTAGGTACTAGGGAGTGTAGGTAGAAAGTAAGTAGTTAGGTGTAAGTAGTTAGGTAGTACAGTTTGGGCTAGTATAGCATTTAGTAGTAGGTGTTGGTTTGGTTCTTGGTGTCCGTTCCGAGTTGCCATTGAACCCCAGAAGCGACTGAGCACTGAGCACTTCGATCAGTCATTGATCACTGCGCCAGGATGCAGTTCAAAAGACTCATCTAAGCCGATGTTGATGGACCCATCGTACCCCGGCCTTTGAACCTTTCAGATGACAGCAAGTCAGCGCCTACATTTGGGTCACCCAGTTGGGTTGTGCTTTGGGCCAGGGAGACCTCCCTGGCTGACCCCTAAATCTTGGTCCTGGCTGCTTTGTTTTTCCAGGTCGAACCTTCCCTTCACCTGTCACCCACGGGGCTTTGCTTGCCGGGTTCGGTCTCCCATGTCTTGAGCCACTGACGTCTCGGCTTCCGCCCGTATCGGACCGTCGCTCCGTCCGAGGCTTTCAGCGGGACAACGAACGCCCATACCCTTGGAGCTATGACCTCCTCTCGAAGGGACTGGAGGCGACGCATCGGGGAAAGGGCCATTTTCGACTGGATCAGCGAAGCGTCAGGGCGGGGCGAAGCATGGCGAAGCGGCGGGGATTCATGGTGAAGCAATGAAAAGACCCTTCGAGCAAAAAAGGAAAGTCGGAAAGCGAAGCAGATGGAAGAACCGCTAAGGACATACAAAAAACCACACCCTAGGGCTCCAAGTACCTCCTGAAATCACCCCAACGAATTTGTAAATAGGTGAAGCGTTTGGAGATGTTCACAACTTCCATTTAGGCCTCAGGGGCACCCGCTTTTTCAAAAGAAACTTGCGTTCTATATAGAGGGCTTAAGTGGCTTGGATAGGACAAAGCAGTACTCTTTTGAACTAATTGAAATATACAGATTCGACTGTGAAGCTGTCATCCTGGCCGACCAAAGTTGAGGAAAGCATTATGGTATCCTCGACAGAAGAACCGAACTAATTCAGAGAAGCAGCACAGTGGTTTCTCCTCCAAACCCTACTCTTGAACGAAGACATTACATTTCATACCGCAAAGATGCAGCTACTATCTTTTGCAGTGTGACATACATTCCGCGTGGTTCTCCAGATTTGTTCCTACGGAAGCTCGAGATGGTTCGAGTTCGGCCACAGCCACAGGCAGCTGTTGGCTTGGACCGTGAACGGCCCTTCTATCAGGCACAAGGATTGCATCGAGGGAGGAGGGTCCGACAGTGTGAAAACTAGACCTGGCACCATGAAAAGTGGTACCTGGACACGACTTCAAGTACGCATGGGACATCGTAGGACAGGACCCTACTTCTAAAAGCCTCTTAATACAGCGCTTTTTGCTGTTGTTCTACAACGTTAGGAAGTGGCCTAACTTGATGATATAACTAACTTCTGCAACTGTAGATATACATGACTTTTCCATAAGAACTTTGTACAATCACTTCCTAAGTATGACGCATCACTTACTTTGTGTTGTAAGATGTTGTAACTATGTAAGCCCTTTACCGTCCAATATTAAAGTACTTAATAAGTGACATAAGTATACTTACCACACATACATGGGGTTTAAGAACCGGCAGGTGCAACGGACCAAGCCAGGGACAGGATGGCAGTGCGCAACTTCTGGCGTCGCCCACTTCCCAAACCCATGGCATGGCCACCATGAGTTCCTCCGGGAAAACGGCTGTGAACCGGGAAAACGTTCACGGCATCTTCGGTGCGGGAAACGGCAGTAGATAGAGGTGGAAGAAGAAGGAGCAGGTCCGGCGCTGGCAGCTGGAGGATGTGGAAGATGTGGCGCTGGAAGGAAGGATGAATCCGATGGATCCACCTGAGGCCGTTGAGGCCCGTGATGTGGATGTGGCGCGGTTGGATCGCACACGAACGAGGCCGTCGCGCGCGCCCTCGGATGGTTCACGCGGTTCATGCTGGATCAAGTCCTCAACGGTGTGACTCGCGCAACAGAGGATGCTGAGGCTGAAGAAGTTGCGGAGAAGGGTGATGCAGAGGCTGCGGCTATCACAGACACAGATTAATCGAGTTCTTCTAGCTCCTCTACCAGCAGTGGTCAAAAATGGGCAAAAGAAACCTGCAAAAGCAGCGAAGGCAGCTGGAAAGAAAGCTGCCAGGCGGCAAAGGCCGCGCCAAAGGCCGCGCCCAAAAAGGAGAGTAAGCAGGATGCAAAGAAGGCTGAGACAAAATCTTCTTCGAAACCATCATCAGCACCTTCCAGTTCGTCTAAGAAAGGGGCAACCTTGCAAACGCGCTGTTCTAATTCTAATTAATTGTTAGATGGGGGTCCACATACACTCCCGAAAACTAACATGGACCCTGAGAATGGCCCGCTGGAAGAGTGTTTTCCTCTCCCAACCAGTGGTTTTGAGGGTCCATGGGATCGTCTTCCAGGGTGTAAACCACCTGCTGGAGATTGTGCCATCTACTTCATCCACCATCGTGCTTTTCGGCCAGACTTCTGTGAGATCACTCCAGTGCCGCCAGGCCAAACATTTCCAACTCTACAAGAAGCAACCCTTGCATTTCCCCGAGGATTTGCTCCTCACCAGGCACAGGGGGTGGGGCGTAATGGCACCAGAGGAAGACCTGCGGAGTCCGATATGAAAACACAGGATCTCACTGGGTTTGCTTGAGGTGATTGGCATTTTCCCTGCGGAACAAAATCCTTTTGCAAAGATGTTTGCTCCCGGTCAGGGGAGCAAATGCATGATTCTGAACTATGGGGCATCATGCGATGTTGCGTTCGTGCGTGTTGCGCTTTGCCCGACCAAACATGGACACCGCCGTCCGCCGTCGAGTCGATCGGCCGAGGATGTTTCTCCGTTTGTTGACCGCCAGGGTTCGAACATTTGGGGTACTGACCGCCCCGCAAACGCGAGGAAACCATCAAATCCATGGATGTCAACATACCGTTTTTGGGGTGTGCGATGTTGACTCACCCTAATGACTTGTCTTCCTGTGTTGTTTGATTTGGAGAGGCTCACGAAGCAGCTCTCGCATGTTCTTTTTCTGTCACCTCATGTCCTTCGGTTCCACAGTCGGAGGTGACCTTCGACCTTCTACCCTTCATGCACCTCCAATCATGGAAGCTGACCAGGACACCCTTTTGGGAGGAACAGACAATCACATGGTAATCAAAAGGGCCAACCGTCCGTTTTGCATCATTCTTTCAGGGCTCCGAGTCCAAGAAAGTAACAGGATTCTGGTTCCATCTTGTTTCCTTCCAAATGGACCAATGGGGATATCCCGCGGACACATTTGGGACAATGGTGTGAGATGAAATGGGTATGGTTCAGTATTTTTTTTGGGGGGAAAGACTCTGAAGACTCCTCACCAATGGGGTTTGGTCTGTTGTCCTTCTGCAAGGGCATCCTCCTGGAGGGTCTCCCTATTCCAATACACAAAGGGTTGATGCCAGGAACTACTTCAACCGATACTGGTCTGGGCATCGCAGATTGAAGAATGCTGTCATGCACCTTGGAACAACAGTGTGGGAAAATAATTCGATCAATCACTGTTCAAGGAAGTAATTCTCTTCGCGATAAGGTCCATGATTGCTGTTCAGAGGTTCACTCTGGTTTGTACACCTTAGGTGGTTGGCTTGAGTTTTTTCTTTTGCGAGGTCAGGCAAATCTCACTCATGCCCAAAAGCAGCATCACCGTCTTTCTTCTTCGCATCCCTAGAAAACCCTGACCTTCGAGCGACGACGTAGGATCCGCCCTGAGGAGTGAGTTAGTGTGTAGTAACAAGTGCCTTACTGGTAGTAACAGGTGCCTTACTAGTAGTAACAAGAAGCTACTAGGAACAAGTGCCTTACTAGTAGTGACAAGTGCCTTACTAGTAGTAACAAGTGCCTTACTAGTAATAGTAACAAGTGCCTTACTAGTAATAGTAACAAGTGCCTTACTAGTAGTAGTAACAAGTGCCTTACTAGTAGTAGTAACAAGTGCCTTACTAGTAGTAACAAGTGCCTTACTAGTAGTAACAAGTGCCTTACTAGTAGTAACAAGTGCCTTACTAGTAGTAACAAGT